ATTATTCAAATCTGACTTTCATTTTATAATTATGTTCATGTAGTTCCTGGGTCTGTTTTAGCAGATATACTCTCAGGTATATTATACTGTCTATAATTATTTTAAACAGGGCATCTCTTACTCTTTTTTTCTTTCAGGATTTGTTGCTGATATATAAAAATGCTGATGATTTATGTGGGTTTATTTTATATCCTACTACTTTGCTAAAATTATTCATTTGTTTCAACTAACTTTTTAGTTGAATCTTCAAAAATTTCCAAATATATTATTATATCATCTGCAAAAAGAGATGGTTCATTACCTTATTTTCCATTCTGATTTCTTCAATTTCTTTTTCTTCTCTTATTGCTATTGATGGCATTTCTAAAACAATGTTGAATGATATTGGTGACACAGTGTAGTTTCCCTGCTTATCTTTTTTAATTAAATCTATTTTAGCTTTAACTTTATCTGAGATCATGATTGCTACCTCTGCTTTTTTTTTTACATCAGCTGTAGCATAATAAATTCTACTCTAGCCCTTTATCTCAACTCTATGTATTTTTCATTTTTTAAAAATTGTGTTTCTTATAAACAACATATTATCAGATTCTGATTTATAATCCATTCTACTATCTGTTTTGAGTTTATGGGTGAGTTAATCCTGTTCACATTCAAAGTTATTATTAGTTGTGTATTTCCCTGCTTTTAATTGTCTTAAGACTAAGCATTTTCATTAGTAGAGGAAATAAATAGATGTCTTATATCTGATATTCTTACTGTCCATTGAGTTCCTTTCCTAGAAAGGACCCTGTTGACTACATTTTGGGGAGACCTAGGACATAAGCCATAACTAAACTTTGTTTTAGAGCTTTCTCTGGGGGTAGAGGTAGAACATGAAAGAGAGAAATTTGACCTCCTTTTTTGGTGTCAGGAACCTTCAAGATGACTGTTTTAGATGATTGTAGCAAATATGCAAAAGAGATCTTTGAAGGTCAAAGTGGACATGGGTTCCATGTGAATAGCAGTTGAACCTGTGTCAGTTGGTCCTGACATCTAGGCAAGTGACATTCTGAAGGATGAAAAGGACAACCTTTTTGAAATGGGAGGAGGGACACTTCTAGTGGATTTGTCCCATCCAATAGAAAGCCACAGTGGATACACTGTGAGGCTCAAGGCATGAGTACAGGGAGAGAATCTGTGTGGCTTTATAGACCAACTAAAGTGCATCTTTCTGACTCACAAAAGTCCATCCTCCTTGACTCTTAAGTGGCCAGACTAATCAAGAATTGTTGTGTCACTCCAAGAAAACAGGCACGTCTAACTTCATTGTGGGTGTCCTCCCCCTTTTTTTGGACAAAGGTCTGAATCCTGTAATCTTTTTAAGTGGAATGGGGCTGCCCAGACCCATACCTCCTCCTGGTTTATAAGATGAAGAAAATTACTCCTTCCTAGGAGTAACTTCCTAGTCACTTTTTTTTTTTTGAGGCAGTTGGGGTTAAGTGACTTGACCAGAGTCATACAGCTAGTGTTACATGTCTGAGGCCGGATTTGAACTCAGGTCCTCCTGGCTCCATGACCTGTGCTCTATCAACTGCACCACCTAGCTGCCCCCTAAATCACTCCTTAAACAATACTTATCAGCTCTAGTGGTGGTGCAAATCCCTGCCTTCATGAAAGTCAGGCTAGTTTTTCTTTAAAAGGTATTGACACCATCTTTGAGACTTGATTGGCTCAGAGGACTAAAGGCTGTTGACCTAATTTATTGGTTGCCTGAATACAAAACAACCAGAAGAGCTCCAGGTGCCCTTTCAGATTTTTGGCTGGTAGAAAATGAAAGGCAAGGGAGCTTAGCTCAGCTAAATCATATTGATGTGTATTCAATGATTATCCTTATTGAATGCCCTTCTCCTACTATGGCTAAGTAAATCTCATTTAAAAAAAACACAAAAAAACAAAAAAACTTGTTCAATAACCTATAAAATCTCATTTTATTCATCTCTTGAACCTAAAATAATGGGTGACTGGCTTAAATCAGGTCCAGCCTACCTTTGGGTGCTTTCCTAAGTACAGTATCCAGCTTATGGGACTTTTGTCTCCAGGGTTTCTCAGATAAAAAGTAAACAAGATAGATCAGAATATCTGCAAAGCAAAGCAATAAAAAGAACTAGATAGAGTGATAAGGCCAATGTTGACTCACAACTCTTATCTCCCTTCCTTTCTCTGCTTCCTGGCTTCCTTCAAGTCTCAGCTAAAGTACTACCTTCTGCAAGAATCCCTTCCCAATCTCTCTTTATGCTATTGCTTTCCCTCTGATATTATCTCCAATTTATCCTTTCCATATCATATTTGTACATAGTTGTTTGCTTGTTGGCTCCCACATTAGACTAAGTTTTTTGAGAGTAGTGTTAGTGACTGTTTTTATTTATTTGTTTTTTGTAAGTTGCCTTTCTTTGTACTCTTAAGTGCTTAGTACAGTGCCAGGCACAAAATGGGCACTTAATAAATGCTTGTTGACTTGACTATTGTAAATTAACCCTTACACCTTTGTAATTCAGTGTTTCAAAAGATCTGTGATTTTGTCAGCCATAACTGATTCTCCCTTTTATGACATAGATGAGCAATTTCTCCATTCCTTAGAAGATAGCTTTTGAATTATTGTGTTCTAAAACTTCATCACTGGTTGATCAAAATCTTCTTAACATACAGGCTGGTTCTCCAATAACAAAGTCTGATTTCATTGCTTGTTGGAGCAGTAGAAGCCCAAATTTCCTTATCATAGCACCTAAATCACTGCCACCATGTATGACTTTAGTCAAGTCCATCCCAGGACTTCAATAAAATACAGTTGACCTGAGGCATCTGAAAAATGAAGTCTCAGATGATCCCTAAGACTTTTGCCAGCTCAAATGATGGATAAATATGATCTTTTCATTTCAGTCTGAGCAAAAATGGGGAAAGAAGGACGTTCTCCATCTGTAAGGACCACCAGTTAGACCAGTAAAAGTTGCTGGAAAACTGAATGGCAGAACTGCTGCCATTGCTCTCTTCCCCCTCTTCCTCTTTCCCCTTCTTGTTCTGCTTTGTGTTTGTGTGCAGTCACCTTTATTCAAGACTGGGCACAGAAAGAGTGTGCTTGGAGATGTTGAAATCTCTGCCTCACAGGCTGAGACTGAGCACCAATGACTCCTTAGTAAAGGTGAAGGGAGGGATTCCTTGCCTCTAGTTACTATTTCTGGCTAGACAGCCTAGGTAAATTTGTACTTCCCTCATCACATCAAGGTGCTTAGAAATAACAGTTAAATTAATTCTTTCATTTTCTTTTGGGGAAGGGAAGGGCTGGAAGCTTTAAAACGTTGACTCAAGGCAGAGGCAGAGATTAAGTGCTTAGAGCTCACGGGAATTAACTGCTCCCTGGTTTCTACAGGCTGAGCAATTTTTAACCCATGGACATACACACACAGAAACACGGGTTCCAGAATTGGAGGGGCTAGTTATAGACAGGACCGCATCGAGAGTTTAATCAGTTCATTCATTTAGTTGCTAGTGGCTTTGGGGGTATACTTCCTCCGGTCCCTCCATATGCCACAACCACCTCCTTGTACAGTTGAGTTACTAGAGTTTGGGCTGCTCCGAGAAGTAATAGGCTTAAGAGGGTCTAACAGGCTAGACTTAATGCCACATTCCTGGCCCAGAGACGTAGGGAGTGGGATAGAGAAGGAAGAGGTCTCTGGTTAAATCATTCACCTGGGGTGGCTGGAGAGACTGTAGGAGTGAGGATGGATAAACACGCAAAAATGAAGTCGCATATCCTTTAGTTGATTACAGTTAAAAAAAAACCCAAACAACCAAAAACAAAACCAAAAACCTCATGATGATAGTTTTCTTCAGAACACGATGTCCACATGACATGCACAGTATCCCAAAAGAGAGAGAAGGCAATGCAAAAAAAAAAAAAAAGGCGCACCTTTGAAACTGCAGATAAATAGCCAAACAGATAAACCAATAACTGAGCCTGCCAAGGGACAACCCTCTTTCGCTGCTTTATTTCCATGGCTCTGCTCCTTTCCCCAGAGTGGACAGTGCCAAGCAAGCCTGTTGGGAGTTTGCAAGCCGGAGCTAAACATGCATTCCTTTGGGGGAGGGAAGGGAAAGGGGAACTGTTCACCGAAATGACACCATCTCCATATGCATCTATATATAGATACCCATATATATCATGCATATATAGCAGTTTTACCATATAGGGGTGTCCCAAAAGTCTTAGTGCAGCGTTAAGCTATTAAAGCTTAAATATACATTAAGATCCTTAATACTATAAACACAGTGTCCTAAAAGTCTTAGTACAGTTGTAAACTATTAAACCTTGAATCCGTACTTAGATATTTATTATCATTACTACACATGTATACACACACGGTGTCCCAAAATTCTTAGTGCAGTTTTAAGTTATTAAGAGTGTATATATGGTGATAGTCAATAAAAAACATTAAAATGTAGTAATAATAAATATCTAAATGCATCTAAATAAATAAACATTCTCAACTACCGAGCAGGAAAAACCAAGAACTACGGGCAAGATGCTGGGGTCCCGGCCAAGACCCGAGGGTAACTGAGCAAAGGGAAGAGTGGTTCAAAGGGCGGGTGGGGGAGGGGCGCCGGAATCTCTGCATCCCGAGGCGGGAGCAGTTGCCCCCCTCCCCCCCCAAAAAGAGGAAAATAACAACAGTAACAAAACAAGGGGTTAAACTCGGCTGTGAATTTCAAATGCAAATGAGAGTAGCGGAAGAGGCGGGGGCTGGCGGGGAGGTTACGGGGCCGAGCCGCGGCTCTCCGGCAGGCGGGGGGAGGTACACCCCCCCCTACAAACTTTCCGGCTCGGGGCGTGGCCGAGGCGAGGGGGCGGTGGAAGCTGAGAGGGCGGGAGTTCGGCTCGGGAGGGAAGAGGAGGGGGCCGAGCGGAGGAAGGCCGGCGGGAGGACTGGGGGAGGGGAGAGGTGGGGGGGAGTCACTTTAAAGGCTCTTTCTTTCCCATAATGCTTTGTGGGGACGTTGACAAGTGGATCCAAGATGGCGTAGAAAGTAATGACAGGTAAGTCCTGACTTCCCCCTTCTTGGCTCCGGGGGTCGCCGCGGGAGCCGCCTGTTCGCTCCCAGGACCGGGTCTGGGGACGGACCGCACCTCCCTGTGGCCTCCGGCGGGGCAGAGGGAGGCCTAGGGCTGGAGGGCCCCGGAGGCGAGCAGCGGGCTCTGGGCCTGGGGAGCAAGGCGAGGCCCGACCCGGCCCGGGCGCTGGGAACCCCGGACGGTCCTTTCCCTCAGGCTCGGACCCCGGGCCGGGCCTGGGGCTGTGGGAGGAGGAGGCTTCATTCTGTGGGAGGAAGAGGCTGGCCCGACCGGGGGCCCTGGGAGCGCTTCCCTCCCAGCCTACCCGCGGCCCCGGTCCTGGGAGCGGACGCAGACACTGGGAAGGAAGCTTTCTGTCCTTCCTCCGCCCACCCATCCTCCTCCTCTCTCTCCTCCTCCTCCACCCCCCACCCTTACCAGTTGGATGCCCCCCAGGGCTGGGGCTGCTGCTGGAGAGGGCCGGGCTGGAGAAGTGGGTCAGCTTTGTTCCCGCTCCCCGCTCTCTGCCTAGGACTCCCTGACTCCCTTCTACCCCCAGCCGCCAAGCCACTTCCTTGGAAATCTTCATTGTCGCTCGTACAAACACACACAAACATACCAATAAAATTCATAATTAAAAAAAAAAAGGAACAGTACTCTTCATCGCCTGGAAGAAGCTCTTTCAAAGTGATCATAGTCCCCAGGGTGGGGAATATAAGAGGACTCACATCCTTCTAGGGAACTCGATACCCCTCACTCCCGACCTTTCTTCCTAAATCATGCCTGCTTTAAATTTTTTTTTTTAAATTTTCCTCACCAAGTCAGGCCCTTGACTGGCTCGAAAAGGACAGGAGTTAGATGTGGAAGTGTCTTGACCGTTAGCTAGAGTAGATATTCAAATATCATTACCTCCGTCCTTAGGTCTTGCCGCACCCTACCGCCCCCACCCCACTATAAAGTCGTCCAAGAAAAACATTAGTTCAGAAAAGAAGTCTAACCACAAAGAGGGACTTAAACTGAATACCCTAGTGGTGGTTGTGGGATGTATACGTGCGAATGATGGGGGGGGGGGCCCAGGGAGGCAGGGAATGAGGACCTTGTAAGTCTCTGCTTGACTTAATTTGTCTTATGTTAAAATCTCCGAGGGTTTAAAAATCTTATCTCTCAGGTCACCAGGGGTGGAAGAAAAACCTTTGTCGGTGTGTTTTGCGTCTCCAACTTGAACAGCAGGTTCACGATAGATTCCATTTTATTCTACTATTTGAAATACTTTAAAAACTCTTTATTTTTTATTTTTCTACATGTAAAAACAATTTTAACATTTTTTTTCTTTCAAGTTTGGAGCTCCAAATTCACTCCTTCTCTCTCCCCCACTCATTGAGAAGGCAGGCAGTTTGACATAGATTATACATGTGTAGTCATGCAAAACAGCATTTCCAAGTAAGTCATTCTGTGAAAGAAAACACAGACAGAAAAAAACCCAAGAAAAATAAAGAAAAAGTATCTTTGATCTGCATTCAGGCTCTACCAGTTCTTTCTCTGGAGATAGATAGAACCTTTCATTAACTTCTACAGAATTGTTTTGGATCATTGTATTGCTGAGAATAGCTAAGTTATTCATAGTAAATCATCATACAATATTGCTGTTATGGTTGTACAATGTTCTGGTTCTGTTCATTTCACTTTTCATCCGTTTATGTAAGTCTTCCCAGGTTTTTTCTGAGAGCATCCTGCTCTTCATATCTTAAAGCACAATAGTATTCCATCACAATCATATACAACAACTTGTTCAGTCATTCCCCAGTTGATGGACATCTCCTCAATTTCCAATTCTTTACTTCCACTAAAAGAGCTGCTATAAATATTTTTGTACACAGAGGTCCTTTTCATTTTTGTTTTTTATCTCTTTGGGTTACAGACCTAGTAGTGGTTTATAGCCCTTTGGGCATTGTTCCAAATTACTCTTCAGAATGGTTGAATCAGTATACATCTTCACCAGTAGTACGTTAGTGTTTTAATTTTTCCACATCCTCTCCAGCATTTGTCATTTTCCTTTTCTGTCATATACCCAGTCTGACAAGCGTGAGGTAGTAGCTCAAGAGTTGTTTTAATTTGCATTTCTCTCATCAGTAGTGATTTAGAGCATTTTTTCATATGACTACAGAGAGCTTTGATTACTTTGTCTGAAAACTGCTTATTCATGTCCTTTGACCATTTATTAATTGAGGAATAGCTCTTATTTCTATAAATTTGACTCAATTTTTTATATGTTTGAGAAATGAGGTCTTTATTAGAGAAACTCACTGCAGAATTTTTTTTCACAGTAATGATTACTAATGATATATTTCCCTCCATCCTATTTCCACAGGTTATCTTACTTTCTCTCCTTTTATTTTTTTTAAGTGTTTTTTTTTAATTTATGGAATAAAGCAAGCATTTCCTTAACAGAATACAATTAAAAAAAAAGGTGATTGTACATGAAACTACAAATATGCATAACTTGCTGTTCTTTTCAAATATGCAACAAAATTATCATGTAGATTTCTTTATTTTTCTTTCCTCTCCCACCCCCGCCCTAGAGATGGCTACCATTAGACACAAATATATGTATGTGTGTGTGTACATACATATGTGTGTATATATGTATATGTATATATGTGTGTATGTGTATATATGTATGTATGTATGTATGTATGTATGTCTGTAAAACTATTCCATCCATCAATTCTTTCTCTGATGGTGTTTTTCTACATATGTCTTTTATAGTTCATTTTCTCTCCTTTTATTCTGTCCAATCTCAAAAGTGTTTTGCTTCTGACTCCCCCAACATGCTCTCCCTTGTATCAACTTCCCCTCCTTCTCTTATCCTCTTCCCTTCCTACCTTCCTTTGTGGTAAGATAGATTTCTTCACCCAACTGAGTATGTATATTATTCCCTCTTTGAGCCAATCCCAATGAGAGCAAAGTTCATAAAACTCTTTCAAGCCTCTTTTATGTCAGACAATTTATCCCATTCTACCTCTTCCTTTTTCCTTCTCCCAGTTTATTCTTCTTTCCCAACCTTTGATTTTATTTTTTTTTAGATAATCTTACCATCACATTCAACTCACACCCCTGCTTTTTGTCTGTGTGTACTCCTAACTGCCTTAATATTGAGAAAGTTTTTAGGACTTATAAATATCATTTCCCCATGTAGGAATATAAACAGTTTAGCTCTATGGAATCCCTTATGATTTCTCTTTCTTGTTTACCTTTTTATGCTTCTTTTGCATCTTGTATTTGAAAGTGAGATTTTCTATTCAGCTCTGATCTTTTCATCAGGAATGCTTGAAAAGTCCTCTATTTCATTGAATATCCATTTTTCCCCCCTGAAGGATTATACTCAGTTTCTTGGTTATAATCCTAACTCTTTTGTTAGGAATATCATATTCCAAGCCTTCCAGTCCTTTAATGCAGAAGCTGCTAAATCTTGTGTTATCCTGACTGTAGCTCCATCATATTTGAATTATTTCTTTTTTGCTGCTTGTAGCATTTTCTCCTTGATCTGGGAGGTCAGGAATTTGGCTAGAATGTTCCTGGGAATTTTCATTTTGGGATTTCTTTCTGGAGGTGATCGATGGATTGTTTCAATTTCTATTTTACCCTCTGGTTCTAGAATATCAGGTCAGTTTTCCTTGATAATTTCTTGAAAGACGATGTCTAGGCTCTTTTTTGATCATGACTTTCAGGTAGCCCAATAATTCTTAAATTATCTCTCTTGTATCTATTTCCCAGGTCAGTTGTTTTTCCAGTGAGATATTTCACATTTTCTTCTATTTTTTCATTCTTTTGATTTTGTTTGATTGTTTCCTGATGTCTCATAAAGTCTTCCCAAGCTTCCACTTGCCCAATTCTAACTTTTAAGGAATTATTTTCTTCAGTGAGCTTTTGTATCTCCTTTTTCATTTGGCCAATTCTACTTTTTAAGGAATTCTCTTCAGTGAATTTTTGTATATTTTTTTTCCATTTGGCCAATTCTACTTTTCAGGGCATTCTTCTCTTCATTGGATTTTTGTGCCTCTTTTACCATTTCTCCTATTCTGTTTTTTAAGGTACTATTTTCTTCAGTATTATTTGTGCCTCCTTTACCAAGCTATTAACTCATATTTTTCTTTGAGGCTTTGGGTGCTGGAATTTTGACTGTTGTCTTCTCAGTATGTGTTTTGATCTTCCTTGTCACCATAGTAACTTTCTATTGTCAGAATTTTTTTCTGTTGTTTGCTCATTTTCCACCCTATTTCTTGACTTTTAATTCAATGCTGAAGTGGGACACTGCTTCCCAAGTGAGGGGTTTGGGGAGAGATTAGGTGAGTCCCTGCCTTTACTCTTTTACCCTGTCTTTGCATCTTGGCTCTGCCCCCTCTTGAAATACTTTAAAATGAAGGAAACAGACTCATTTGTAAAGCCACATGCTCCTAATATGTCATTTAGTAACTTACCCCTTTAAAATGTAGATATCCTTTTACTATGGCTGATGTTTACTTAAGAGTTTTGCCTCATCTAATATTGATACTGTGTAGACATATTTTTACTCACTTGGGAAGCAGTGTCCCACCTAGCTGCCCCTCACATAGGAGTATAGATAGGGAAGCAGATTTAGAAGTAGAAAGCATATTTGCAATATACATATATCCAGTTGAATCAACCTGTTCCTTCTCACACCTTTTAGAAATTGTCCTGAGCTTTCTGTCATTTATATATGCCATCAATGTTGTCTTCAGAGGGGTAGTTATAGTTTTTTAAAATTCAGATTTCCACAAGTAGCTTTAATTATATTTCTTAACTTTATTTTTACTCTAATGTCAATGTGCATTTACATTGTGTTAACATTAGAGGTATCATCTGATTATCAGTGATGTGAATATCAGTGAATATTTTATGTCAATAGTTTGTTGCCTAACTTGTGAAGTGTCACATTTATAGTAGGAAGATGAGTTTTGGGCAGG